CAATGGAATATGTAAGGGGCCCCTATTTAAAGTAGGATAGTGTGATCACAATTGGCCAAAGAGTCCTTAACTACCCCGAAACCCTAACCCAGGGAACACACAAAGACCCTACGTTCTCCAGCCTATTTGGAATGCTACTATGCAGCTCTCTGCTGAGCTACGAGAATTTGCCCGCGGGCTACAGATCTTGCTGATATGGCCTACCGTGCCATTGAAACTTCTTCACAACGCATTCTTGGCATTTTCTAAATCTTAGTAGCTGAGTAGATAACCTTTGACTTTTTGGGGTATATAGAAGCCTACCATAATTGAAAGGATAACCTTTTTTGGATCAGGGTACAACTAGGACAGTATGATTCTTGAACCCTAAACCCTAAACCCTAAACCCTAAACCCTAAGCCCTAACCCTCTAAATGACCGTAGTTAGCATCGCTGTAGGGAAGGTCCCAGTGCGCAGGGATGCCTCAGCTCACGAGGTCGATGTAGAGAGGTTTAGGGCGTTTAGGGTTTAGGTTTTAGGGTTTGGGGTTGACCTTGTTGCCTTCCTGACCCGAAGCCCCATATAACCCCACAAACCCCAAACCCAGGCTGTAATCCTGCAGGGCCTCTCCAAGGCGTGGGGGCTTCTGGGTGCACTGAATCTAGGATTGTAGGGTATCGCGATGTTATGGAGAGCTTGCACCGCAAGGGCTCAAATCTTAAGTTTCCCTTGTGGCTCATCTAAATCCTAAACCTCCAAGAGCCCAATAACCTTACAAACCTGCATGAGCTCTGCATTGCTTCTGATGCTTGTCGACCATCATAGCCTTAAACCCCAGTGTGGAGCCCGAAGCACACAAAAAGTTAACCAAACACTGCTAGAAGTGGAAGCCTGGCAACCCACAGGAGCTCCCGCAAAGCCCACCACCGCCATGTGAACACTTGAGGACCCTAAGCCCTACACGCTTTACCCTACCCCTCGCAAAAGCAAGATCAAAGTTGAAAGCCCGCATGCCCTCAAGCCCGAAACCCAAACCCTAAAGCCTCGCACCCTTGTTTACAAGCTCAAGCACGTGCATGACCCCTTCTGGGGTTCGATTATACGGAGCCTTATTCTTAGGGTACCACCAACAAGGCTTTAGGTCAAACACAAACAGGGTTTAGGGTTTTTTCGGGTCTAGGGTTTTTTGAGGGCTTTAGTGTTTCAGCTTCTCTTAGTTTTAGGGTTTTAGGGTCTCTGGGTTTTAGGGTTCTAGGGGCTTTAAGTGAAGGGCACTTGGTGCCTCGAGCTCGAGGCGCCGCAGCTCAATGGCAAGCTGGGCACCGTCGCCGGCAATGTGGATGGCGCCACAGGCGGCTCCCGGAGACCTTTGCTTCCTTTCTTTTTTGTTAGGGTGGGCACATTGAGGGTCCATGTACCTAAGTAGGGCAAGCACCTAAACCCAGGCCCTAAACCCTACGACCCTAAGTGCTAAACCCCATTCTGGTTTGGGCCCGGGGGTTTTCGGCTTCGGGTGGACGGGCTGGAAACGTAGGCTCGAGGGCCTCGTCTTAAGGGCTTAAGGGTTCATTTTCGGGTTTAGGGTGGTTACGTCGACCCTGGACCCTCAACCCTAAACGCCCTAAACCCTAAATGGGAGGTCGTTGCCCCGTGCTGCTGGGTGATGGCTCGGTCAAGAGCCTCAAGGTGGAGAACCTGCGCCAGGAGGGGCTCTCGAAGTTATGGATTTCGGGTTCCTAGAGGGTATTCGGAAGCTGAGGACCCCAAGCCCCGAGTTTGAGGGCCTTCTAGGGTGAGAAGGGCATTTTTTGAGGGGGGCTTAGGGATCTCAGTGCCTGCCATCCTAAGCCTTCCAGGCTCATCTCAGAGCTCACCGCCTGAACCCGAAGCTCTCAGCCCCAAAGCTACCTGGCCTCATGACTCGGGCTTCTACGCGCCAAGCCTCGAACCCTGCAACACTCAACTTTGGGCCGACAGGACATAGGGTTTGGGGTTTGGGGTTTAGGGTTTATGGTTTAGGATTGGTGCCCCTAGAGCCCTAAACCTTTCAACCCTTAAAACCCTAATTCTCAGATGTGGCTAGGGGACTGAGGGATCGATTTAGCTCTTACGGGCGTTGTTTTCTGGTGCTTTCCTGGGGGCTTTAGTGGTTTAGGGTTTGCCTTCATCGTTCTCCTCATCGTCATCTCATTGGATCGTCGTCACCACTATGATCCTCATCCCCATCCTCATCGGTATCATTGTTCCGTTATGTAGCCAGCCGTATCATCCTTTCTGCTGTTGGCGTCTTTTTGTGACTTCTACGCTGACTTCTGCCATGTTTGCTACTCGTCTTCGTATTTTTATTTTCACAAAGCTTTGCTGTCCACCTGCTTAGTTCAGGGGACGGTGTCCTCGCTCTGTCTGTGGCCCGATCTTAGAAACCACGGTTTCTTGTGCCAGTGGCACCCTAAACCCTAAACCCTATAAACCCTAGACCCTAAACCCTATAAGCCCAAAACCCTAAAACCTCCCTGAACCCTAAACATCCCGGCAGCAGGGAATGGAGCCCTCTTGATCCCTACAGAGCCTACGCAAAGCCCTTGGCCCTGGGCGTGATCTCTCTGAACCCAAAGCTCTCATGCCCAAATCCTAGGCAACAGCAAACTCTAAACCCCTAAACCCGGTCCTGTGAAGGTCTTGACGGGCGCGATTGTTCGGCTTAGAGGCAGGGCCAGCAAACAGGAGTTGTTTTGGTCAGTTCTTGGGGCGAGGGCTCGGGGTGAAGTGTCTTGTTTGGACATGCAGTTGGAACTGGGTTTTCCTCTCATGGAAACTGTCCGAAGTGCGCGTCGGTCAACCCTAAGCCCTAAGCCCTAAGCCCTAAGCCCTAAGCCCTAAGCCCTACGCCCTAAGCCCTAAGCCCTAAGCCCTAAGCCCTAAACCCTAAACCCTAAACCCTAAACCCTAAACCTCTGCCCATGCACTCCACGCAGGCCTACAAGCGGCGCCCGAACTGAATGGAGTCACCGCTGAGCCTGGGCTAAGGGTCCATTTTTTTGGCTAGGCCAGAACCCTAAATTGAAAAACCATAAAGTTCCAGATTGGGATGTAGAGAGTTTAGAGTTTGGCGAGGTGGGAGCCAAAGAGCGTAAGTTGTTTGTCCGGAAGAATCCCGAGTCCCGAACTTAGCCCTTCAGCCCATAACCCTTGTCGCCCTCAGCCCCCCCGAAACCCACTGACCGTTTTCGTGTTCGGGATCTCCTAAACCCAAACCTTAAACCCAAAGCCCCAAACTCTACTACTACAATTTTGTAAGTAGATAAATATGTATATACATAGATATATAATATACATATATGTATGTGTATAAACCAAACTGAGCCTCAACCCCCAAACCCCCACCCTGAACCCGTTCAGGATGTAGGGCCCTCGCGAACGGAGGAGTGCGGTCAGCTGGATCTCACCACCGAGCGCTACAGCGTGGCTGCCCCAGAATGGTGCTCTGAAACCCTCGTTCAGGGCTTAGGGCTTTGGAACTTGTGGGTTTAGAGTTCAAGGTGTATGGTTTAGAGTTTCGGGTATTAGGCTTCAGGGTTTTCGGGTTCATGGATCAGGGTTTACACTTTGGGTTTAGGGAGTATATCCCAACAACCATACGCCGAGATAGCGGCACTCCAAGCCCACTGGCCCTTGGCCCCAACACCCTGGAGATCCCCAGCGTTAAGGGATGTTAAGGGTTTAGGGTTGAGGGATTGGGGGTTAGACGGCTCTGTAGTGCGAGGTCATGTGGCTATGAGCTTTGGGAGTACTTAGAGGCGCACTTTGCACCGAGTTTAGTGACATGGCAAAGGTTTAAAGGGTTTAGATGGGCCCTGCCGCCCCAAGGCAGCTTTCCGACACCGGCTCAATGTACAGCACGTGCGCTTGTTGCAAGAAGCGAAACATCTAGTCAATTCGAAACCTGCAGTAGCGATGCAGATCTTCGTGAAGACGCTGACGGGCAAGACCATCACCTTGGATGTTGAGGCCTCAGACACGATTGATAACGTGAAGGCAAAGATCCAGGACAAGGAGGGTATCCCGCCGGATCAGCAGCGCCTGATCTTCGCAGGCAAGCAGTTAGAAGACGGCCGCACGCTGTCAGACTACAACATCCAGAAGGAGTCGACTCTTCACCTGGTGCTGCGCCTCCGCGGTGGCATGCAGATCTTCGTGAAGACGCTGACGGGCAAGACCATCACCCTGGATGTTGAGGCCTCAGACACGATTGATAACGTGAAGGCAAAGATCCAGGACAAGGAGGGTATCCCGCCAGATCAGCAGCGCCTGATCTTCGCAGGCAAGCAGTTAGAAGACGGCCGCACGCTGTCAGACTACAACATCCAGAAGGAGTCGACTCTTCACCTGGTGCTGCGCCTCCGCGGTGGCATGCAGATCTTCGTGAAGACGCTGACGGGCAAGACCATCACCCTGGATGTTGAGGCCTCAGACACGATTGATAACGTGAAGGCAAAGATCCAGGACAAGGAGGGTATCCCGCCGGATCAGCAGCGCCTGATCTTCGCAGGCAAGCAGTTAGAAGACGGCCGCACGCTGTCAGACTACAACATCCAGAAGGAGTCGACTCTTCACCTGGTGCTGCGCCTCCGCGGTGGCATGCAGATCTTCGTGAAGACGCTGACGGGCAAGACCATCACCCTGGATGTTGAGGCCTCAGACACGATTGATAACGTGAAGGCAAAGATCCAGGACAAGGAGGGTATCCCGCCGGATCAGCAGCGCCTGATCTTCGCAGGCAAGCAGTTAGAAGACGGCCGCACGCTGTCAGACTACAACATCCAGAAGGAGTCGACTCTTCACCTGGTGCTGCGCCTCCGCGGTGGCATGCAGATCTTCGTGAAGACGCTGACGGGCAAGACCATCACCCTGGATGTTGAGGCCTCAGACACGATTGATAACGTGAAGGCAAAGATCCAGGACAAGGAGGGTATCCCGCCGGATCAGCAGCGCCTGATCTTCGCAGGCAAGCAGTTAGAAGACGGCCGCACGCTGTCAGACTACAACATCCAGAAGGAGTCGACTCTTCACCTGGTGCTGCGCCTCCGCGGTGGCATGCAGATCTTCGTGAAGACGCTGACGGGCAAGACCATCACCCTGGATGTTGAGGCCTCAGACACGATTGATAACGTGAAGGCAAAGATCCAGGACAAGGAGGGTATCCCGCCAGATCAGCAGCGCCTGATCTTCGCAGGCAAGCAGTTAGAAGACGGCCGCACGCTGTCAGACTACAACATCCAGAAGGAGTCGACTCTTCACCTGGTGCTGCGCCTCCGCGGTGGCATGCAGATCTTCGTGAAGACGCTGACGGGCAAGACCATCACCCTGGATGTTGAGGCCTCAGACACGATTGATAACGTGAAGGCAAAGATCCAGGACAAGGAGGGTATCCCGCCGGATCAGCAGCGCCTGATCTTCGCAGGCAAGCAGTTAGAAGACGGCCGCACGCTGTCAGACTACAACATCCAGAAGGAGTCGACTCTTCACCTGGTGCTGCGCCTCCGCGGTGGCATGCAGATCTTCGTGAAGACGCTGACGGGCAAGACCATCACCCTGGATGTTGAGGCCTCAGACACGATTGATAACGTGAAGGCAAAGATCCAGGACAAGGAGGGTATCCCGCCGGATCAGCAGCGCCTGATCTTCGCAGGCAAGCAGTTAGAAGACGGCCGCACGCTGTCAGACTACAACATCCAGAAGGAGTCGACTCTTCACCTGGTGCTGCGTCTACGCTAAGCCTGTGTCTTTCCACGCATTCGCAGCTTCTCAGTCTTGCGACGTGCCGTAGTTATATTGTTATGATGAAGTTGTATATGCACAGGTATCGCCAAGGTAAGCAGTGCTACGTCATATGTGTGGCAGGCTGACCGAAGCTGCACCGAGGGGTAGGGTCTACGAGCGTCTCCATCCTTTGCTTTTGGCGGCCCGAGAGCGTCAATGGATCAGATAGCATCCAGCCCTTGAATCAGTACTTGTCAATATATGTATTGACTATATAAAATACTATAGCATATACATAGACAAATAGAAGTATAGATTCTCTCTTCAAGGCTTCTCCTGACGCATCTCGGGCCTTTCACGGTTGAATCGCGCTAGGCCGTTTGTACAGACTCTCAGCCTTGAACTGCACTTTGCTCGGCTTTGCTTCCGCAAGCCTGGGGCAGAGACCTGCTGGCCGATGATGGGGCCAAAATTTGCTGAGCCGCGACCGGCCCTAACCCGAACCACCCTAAACCCTAAACCCTAAACCCTACACCCTAAACCCTAAACCCTAAACCCCTGCAGCCTAAAGACTGTTCTGTTCAGCGATCTTCAGCCCTTTCCTTCGATAGGTCGAGCCTCCCACGTGCTTGCAGGTGATCCTGGCAGATGGGAAAGAGACCGTCAAGAAGGTGAAGGACCTTCTGCACCCTAAACCCTCTAAACCCTCTAAACCCTCTAAACCCTCTAAACCCTAAACCCTAAACCCTAAACCCTAAACCCTAAACCCTAAACCCTAAACCCCCCAGAAGCCCTGAAGGCAGGAGGTCCTGCTTTCCGGTAGTGTTTTCAGGCTCCTCCAGCCGCAACGTCAGCCCATTGAATTCAGGCAAGCAAACCTTGAAAAGGCCGAAGTCGGTGTAGGGGGAGTTTAGGGTTTAGGGTTTAGGGTTTAGGGTTTAGGACACAACGCAACACCACCTCCACCCCCAAGAAAAAACATGAGGCAACGTGCGGCCAAAGGGTGTTCATGAACCCAGAGTCGACTTGGATTCTGTTCCAGAGGGTAGTTTTAAAACGTTTCGTTGTAGGGGTTAGGGGTTCGGGTTGAGGGTTAAAGAAAACTCATCATCAAACACTGGGAGGCTGCGCCTCTCCAACCCCCGGCTTCTGTGTGAGCCGCATAGGAGCAGCGCAAATTCTTGAAAGCCCCGTTGAGTCTGCACTTTTGCTCGCCCCTCATGCGCACATTGTAAGCTGTGCAAGCTTAACTACATTACAGAACCTCATGCAAGAGCAGTATTGCTTGACAACCTCTGAACAATGCCCCCTTTTGCTCAAGCCATCAGGTGGAAGACAGCCAAGGTCACCCTAAGCCCCAAGCCCTCACATGCTGAGCGTGACAAGCTTGGAAAACCCCGAAAAGACTGTACTTCGAGCGACGAGCTGACACTATGCGAACTGCTGTTAATTTGCAGCATTTGCACCTCCGCCTTTCTTCTTAGTGCTATTTAGGTGCAATGTTTCAGAGGGCTAAGCCCTAAACCCTAACCTTAGATCCTAGAGAGTGTGTGGGGGTTTGTAGGGTGATGGGGTTTAGGGGTTTCTCAGGTCCTCCTAGACTCCCTAGCCACTGTCGTGATAGAATTTGACCAGGAGTCAGGTTGGATATTGTTGGTTTAGGTTTAGGGTTTCGGTTTAGGGTCTAGGGCTTTGGGTTTAGGGCTTAGGGTGTATAGGCTTTTGACTTTACGGTTTAATTAGGGGGTGTAGGGCTTCTATCCCAAGCCCCCAACCCTAAACCCATTTGTCCCCTGATTCCCTTTTTTTGAATCCCGAAGCCCTAGACCGTGGCCCTTCATAAACCCCTTGTCCCGAAAGCGGGCACCCCTTTCCTTCTTAGGTCACTTGGCAAGCCAGGGCTAGAAGGGGTGTGACATTTGGGGTGTTGTTTGGGCGTTTATATGTCTTCCCCAAGCCCTAAGCCCTCAGCCCTCTGCCCTCAGCCCTAAGCCCTAAGCCCTACCCTCCCCCCTTTATATCGCCCAAAACCCCCCGCCTTCGCCTGCAGGAGGTGAACCTGGAAAGGATAGGGCAGTATCTACAGCCGCGCCCTCGGGGTCAATTGGAGATGGACTCTGAAGTTGCACGTTGTTTAGGGTTTAGGGGTAGGGCGGCTAGGGTTTAGGTTCTAGGGTTTGGGGGTTCGTGCGGTTAAGGGTTAGGGGTTCAAGGTTTAGGGGTTCAAAGAGGCTTTGTGGTTTGGAGGGTTTGTAGGGTTGACGCGTAGAAAAAGGGCCCTCAACGATGAACTCCGCCAAGCAAACCAGGACGACTCAGCCCAGACACCTTCGACCCTATTCCACACCCGGGCGAAACCCCATGCAAACTCCTCAAGCCCTAAACCCTAAACCCTAAACCCTAAACCCTAAACCCTAAACCCTAAATCCTAAGCCCAAATCCCTCAACTCCCGCCCTCCACTCAAACATCTCCCTAACGCCCAATGAAACCCCCAATCCCTAAACCCCCCGCATCTGCTCCCGAGGCCGCGCAAGTATCTGGCCAGCCAGACAAAGCCCTTCACGTGGAAGGACGCCGTGCAGAAAGGCCGGGGAAGCAAGAAACTCTCAGAAGCTTAGCAGAGAGACCTTTCGGGGCACAGCCTGACAGAGGGGTGCAATTTTGACTCCTTTGACAAGGTCTTGTTGCCGAGTTGTCGGGCCTCAGATGCGGGATCTTTAGAGCCTTAAGACTTAGCATGTCCCTTAAACCCTAAACCCTAAACCTTAAACCCTGGTTCCGGCTCGTTAGGCTTTTGGGGTTTTTTTTTGGTTTAATTAGGGTTCTAGGCTCCCAATATCCTCCCACTTCAACCCCATCTAACCCTGCAGCCAACTTGGACCGAGAGTAGGCCCTTATTCCCCCCTTTTTTTAGGGTTTGGGTTCCCTTATGAGCCCCTGCACCAAAAAGTGCACCCTTTTTACTCCTGGGCACCCTTTTTATTCCTAGGCTACTCTTGGGCTAGTCAGAGTGTTGTGGGGGGTTCATCCTTTGACGCCAGGCAAGGATCGGGAGCAATCCTGGAGCTCCCGCTTGTCCTTGCTCAAGGAGCGCAAGGGTTTAGGGTTTAGGGTTTAGGGTTTAGGGTTGTGGGAACCCCATACCGCCATACCCGAAGCCCTAAACCTAAACCCCCAAACCCGAAACCCGAAACCCGTAAAAACCTAAACCCCCCCAACCCCGCAAGCAAGGCAAAAACCGAGACCCTGCGAGAGGAGATGGGGCTGCCCCCGCCGAAGTTCCTTCCGGGCCAGGCTCTCGTGCCTTGGCCTCGCAATTTCCTTTGGGTTTAGGGTTTAGGGTTTAGGGTTTAGGGTTTAGGGTTTAGGGTTTAGGGTTTAGGGTTTAGGGTTTAGGGTTTAGGGTTTAGGGTTTAGGGTTTAGGGTTTAGCCCCCTAATCCCCTAAACCCTACTTAAGCATAGGGCTTAGGGTTCCGCAACGCTACTTGCCTGGCTAAACCCTGTTGAGATTCTTCCAGTCAGGTTCAGGGCTTATGCTTGTCGTGCGGCGTTTAGAGGCTTGGAGTGTCTTGGTGCAGGGGCAGGGCTTCGAGTTCAGCGTCGAGTTTTGCAATGATACCGAAGATTCGAAGAGTTTTGCATTTAGGTCACCTCGCCTCCCAGCAAAGCAACGCCCCTAACTGCCCCAACCCCTGAATCCCCTATACCCTACACCCAGCACTCAGTAGAATCGGGCCTGGGAGGCTTGATGCTCAGAGTATCTCCGCTCTCAGGCAGAAAGAGTGAATAACATGCAGCTCCTTCGCCAAATCGGTAAACGCGCCGTGAAGTGCAGAACAGTTGTGTTTTGAGATCAGGGACCAGGGTTAGGTTTTATTGTAGGGGTCCCCACAGCCAGTCTTCTGAATCCCCCAGCCCTCAAGCTGAGCCCCATGAAGCCCAAGAGGGCCTAAACTTCAATCCAGACATGTAAGGCGGCTGCCAAAGATGTGGCGCCTGTCGCCATCGCAGCCGAAAGCCTGCCACTCACGGACGAAGGGCGTCTCGCTTGCCGGCTGCTGGCCACCCGTCCTGACCCAGGGAAAGTCACTGGGACCCCGAAGGCCTAAACCATTTTCGGAACCCCCTTCGCTTCTTTTTTTGCCGTAGGTTGCCTGCGGCTCTTAGAAGAGGTTGCGCAGCAAGTCTCCAGATAGCAGGCTTTGGGTTCTGGAGGTAGGGTTTAGGGTTTAGGCGGTTTAGGTCACAGGTTCGGGCGCAAGGTTAGGGTGCAATCTGGATTTTTAGGGTTTGCATTCTTGATCCCTGGTGCTTAAACCTCCGGAGACCCTGAAATGTAAGACGTCACATGCGCTCTACAAGCATTTTACCATCCAGCAACCCAAGAAAGCCATTGCCTCCAGCACAAGACGTAGGCCAAAACCCAAAAACTATGGTGCCGGCATTCAGTCGTCCGCTGTGTGGAAAAGATTGAGGGTTCTGGGTCCCTCGATTCTCAGGCCGTTTCTACCGAGCGCGACGAAGGAAGTCCTGCCAAAGATCAGAAGCAGGACCAAGACACTAGAATCCCAAGCGTTTCCCTTGCTCCCTTTTACTATGGGTCTGGTTCTCTCATCTTGTAGACTGAAGATCTCTACTGAATTCTTGTGCAGGAACTTAAGTTGAAGTACCATAACCACCGTAATCTGGTAACCTAGTTTAAGCTCCTAAGTAAGAACACGCAAAAACAAAGCGGATTCTCTTGAGCTGCTTGGGATGTTATGGGATACCTTGGCAAAGAGGAAGAGGTGGAGGTGGCCAAGCGCCTATCATTCAGGGTTTGACATGGAGGTTTAAGGGTCAGGTTTTGCGCTCAGGCGTTTAGGGTTAACGGTTTCAGGTTTGTGCTTAGAGATGCTCAGGGCTTAGGGTTCGGGTTTAGGGGTGGATAGGCTTTGGATGCGCAAGGTGTGGCTCTCTTAATGTCTTGGTCCTGGATGTTAAGACCATCTCGGCCTAGGCATGAGTCCTAAAGCCCCAACTGTAAAGCCTAGCCCTGATTCCCTGACCCCCGACCCCTAAGCCAAAGTCCTAAACTTTGGCGAATCGGGGGTGCTGAGGGTTTTCGGTGTAGGATTTGGAGTATGGGAGCTCCAAACTAGGTGCCTTATGGTACTATATGAATCGCGAGACCCGACAAACTCGCAATTACATGGCCCACTTGAGTATCTTTCGGAAGGCCAAGCTTGGCTAGTATTGGGGCCTGGGGTTTAGGCTTCAGGGTTCCCCATTTGGGCTTCCCCTAGCTTAGCTATCCTGTCAGACCGACACCCAAGCGCAAAAACCCTAGATGCCTGGCACCATGAGGCGCGGAACTTCCAAAAACTCTTCTGGTGCAAAAGGAATCTCCCCAAATCATGGTAGGATTCATACTTGGCTTCCCAAAACAGGGGTAGTCTTTTTTTTGGGATTCCTTGAATATAAAGGGTGCTCGCGCCTTTTTTTGTTGGGTCCAACACCCACTCAATATCAATCCGGGCAAAAGTCTTTCCTGAACCTGAATTAAGTGTGGAGGTTCAGGGTTGTGAGTTCTTGAGGCTCCACATGGCTTTTCGGGTGGAAGTCGTGCTTCTGAGCGGCCGAAGCACCGTCGCCGAGGTGGACCCAAGCTCGACGGTCGCTTCACTGAGGAAGCGCGCCGAGGGTGAGTTGGGAGTGGGTCGCGGAAGGCTGCTGAGCTTACTTGGGGTGGCTCTGTGTGAAGAGGCCACTCTTCAAGAAGCTGGGCTGCAGAACGGCGATGCCTTAAGCTTGCACAGCTATCAGGTCAGAGCGGCCTCGTCTTTGGAGTCCTTTGCTGCCGTCCTCGGTGGTGGAGCTGTTGTGACATGGGGCCATGCTCGCAGCTCTGGCCGTGGCAAGCCCATTCTAGAGCATGTACGGGACATACAGTATATCCAGGCCAGCGAGCGTGCCTTCGCGGCTATTTCTGGTGACGGCTCCGTTGTGACCTGGGGCATGAGCAATCATGGTGGCGATTGCGCTGCTGTCCAAGAGCAGCTAAAGCAAGTTCAGCAGATCCAAGCCTCTCAGCGTGCTTTTGCTGCCATTCTGAGAGATGGCCATGTTGTAACCTGGGGACCTTCCGTGTGGGGTGGCGACAGTAGCGCCGTGCAGGAGCAGCTGCAGGATGTGCAGCAAATCCAATCCACCGACTCTGCGTTCGCTGCCATCCTCGGCGATGGCCGCGTGGTGACATGGGGCCCTGCCGATGGTGGCGGGGACAGCAGCACCGTCCAAAGCCAGCTGCGCAACGTGCAGCGAATTCAATCTTCCAGCCGCAACTTTGCTGCCATCCTCGGTGACGGTCATGTGGTGGCATGGGGTGGAGATGGTGGTTGGTACGGCTGCTCTGTTCAGGAGCAGCTGCAAGCAGTGCAACATATCCAAGCCTCAGGAAGCGCCTTTGCCGCAATCCTTGCCAACGGATCTGTAGTGACTTGGGGCGTTCCCGCTTTTGGTGGAGACTGTGACGCTGTCAAAGAACAGCTGGAAGGCGTCCAACAAATCCAAGCTTCTAACGGCGCGTTCGCGGCTATTCTCAGTAACGGCCGTGTGGTTACTTGGGGGCATCCTACCTGGGGTGGCGACAGCAGCTCCGTGCAGAATCAGCTGCGGGACGTGCGTGGGATTCAAGCCAGTCGGTGTGCGTTTGCTGCCATCCTTCGGGACGGAAGTGTTGTGACATGGGGACGAGGCGGCAGCTCAAATTTCAGTTCTGTCCAATCTCAGCTGCAAAACGTGCAAGAGATCTGTGCCTCGGATCACTCGTTTGCAGCCCTTCTCGAAAATGGTTCTGTGGTGTGTTGGGGCGATGGTGTCTTTGGTGACAGCGACACTAGTGCTGTGCAGGAGCAGCTGGTAAACGTTCAGCACATCCAATCCTCCAGCCGCGCGTTTGCTGCCATTCGTGGCGATGGCTGCATCGTGACTTGGGGCGAGCCGGATTGGGGTGGCGACAGCACCGTGCTGGAAGAGCAGCTCCGGTGTAACGCGGATCGCCCCAACGCCCAAAGCTGAAATCTGGCTCGCGATTTCTGCTATAACCCCAAACCCTAAACACCCCCATCCGAAACCCGGCACACTTACACCCAACCCTGAACCCTAAGCCCCAAGCCCTAAACCCTAAACCCTAAACCGCTGAACCACAAGCCCTAGAACCCCAGAACCTCGGACTCCCAAACGGCCTTTGGTCGAAGGAGCTGAAACGCCTGGCGGCCTTAGCCAAGGCCTGGACCCTGGGCATCTGAGAACTGAGAAAGTGCTCGTGATGGCTTCGGAGGTTTAGGGCTTCGGGTTTTTGGCTTCGGGTTTAGGGTTCTAGGGTTTAGCATTTTAGGGTGTTAGGGTGTGAGGGTTATGGGGTGTTGGGTTTTTTAAGTTTTTGGGCGTGTAGCAAGAAAAGAGACGCCACCGTACAGAACATGTTTTTGGGGCACAAGCTCAAAACCCGAAACCCTGAACCCCTAAACCCTTAAAGTTTGACATAGGCTTCAACACCCAGCGAGGCGGTCCAGAAGCGGGACGACACCAACACACCGCCCCGTGACCATCATTGAGAGTCTGTAGGGTTCGGGGATTTGGGTGCTTAAGTAAGGGCAGGGACGCCCTTGCTTAAGGGCATGCGCGAGAGCTTTAGGCGGTTCAGGGTGTGGGGTTTAGGGGATTCTCATGCCGTCGGGCTTTTGATGCTTCCCCCCCCCCTCCCCCGCTGGGCTACCGCTTTGCTCTCAGGACCTACTTCCTCCTTCCAGGCCTGTGCACTGAGGCCGGAACCCTGAACCGATCCAAGTAAGCTCAAACTCGGAGTGTCGCGCCTTCAGGGTTCATGTAGCTTGAGGTTCTTTAGTGGGCCCGGTTCAGGAGTACCTCCCCGGCGTTGCCACAAAGAACCGCACAAACTGGAGTCCCTCAGCCCCTTATAGGGCTCTAGGGTAAGGACTTGGGTGCCTCAAGTTACTGGCCTCTGATCGGATTTTGGGGCATCAGGTTTTCTCTGGCCCGTCTTGGCTCAAACCACTCTTTGAGACCCGAGCTCCGAAACCCAGGCGCCACAAGCATGCAACCGCCAGCCAGAAAACGGGGCTCCCACGCCCTGAAGGCCTTGGGCACTCATAGCTTCCAAAGCCCCCATGGATCGCGAGGATCCTCCAAACAAGGTAGCTTGAAATCCTGGGCCCTTCTGAGCCCGAAGCCCAATCCGAATTCACCCTCAACCCGAATTAAACCCTAAGCTCGAAACCCTCATTGAACTCCAATCCCCAATTAAGCCCTAAACCCTATCAAGCCCTGACGCCTAATTCAACCCTACATTCAAAACCCCAAGTTACACCCCCCCAAAATTGCCAAACCCGACTGAACGCCCTATAGTCCAGCCCCAAGTTGCTTGAAGCCTGCAGGCCCTTCCCTGTGCCCGCAGCTCAGCCAGCCTGGCCTGGCCTCTGTACCTGCAGCTCTGCCAGGCGCCCTAAGCCTATGGACCTGCTGGGTACCTGAATGGTATACGCTTGTGCCTCAATCTTCTAGGAACCCCTGGAAGGCCCAGGTCTATACTAGAAAGGTACCTGGGCCCTTAGGGAAAGCTAGATTGGCAGCTCTACTTTCTAAATTCCCAGGGGCCCGAGGTCATGCGTTCGTTGGTTTTGGCAAACTGGGTTAGACCCAAGAACACTAGCCAAGTACCCTAAACCACAATACCCGAAAGACCCTTGAGTTCTGAACCCTGTGCCCCAAACCCACCCCAAAACCCAAACCCCAAACCCCAAACCCTAAACCCTGACACCCCAAACACCCTCTGCCTCAATCTGCCCCAAGTCCCCTCCGCCCAAGCATCGACAGTTCCCCGGAGGCACTGGTGTGCCTGGAGTCGGCTCACCATGCTCACAAGGCAAAGTCTGTGGCCTTTTTGGGGGTTCAGGGTTTAGGGTTTAAGGTTTAGGCGGTTTAGGGTTTAGGGTTTATCAGGGTGTAGGGGAAAAGGCTAGAGGTCAGGGTAGAGGATTCTGGGCTTAGGGTTCAGAGAACCCTTGTGGTGCTCGTAGGTTCGTGTAAGACTCTTTGTGAAGGAAACCAGTTTGGAGCAAGCCGGAAGATCTCGGGTCCCGATAAACCTGAAGCCTTCACGTGTTTTTTCATTCGAATGCTTTCGCACGAAAAACCCTAATATGACAGGTGGTTCGGTTCGGTTCGGCATGAGCTTTGAGTTTTGTCTGCGGTTTGCCTTGGTAAGCTACCGTTTACCCCTCCACGGAGGGGGATGGGGAGTGGTGGAGGGAGACCTATGATAGGCCCGATTTTGCACCGCACTAGTCCAGAGCTTCCAAAACTCCCCTAAACCCTAAACCCTAAACCCTAAACCCGAAACCCTTTCAAGGGAGGTTCCTTGATCGAAACTTCTGGCAACCCAGCAACCAGGCCTGGTGCCGAGCTGAGCAGCTCATCGCAAGCCAGGCTCCTGGGGTTCGGGGGCTCACCCTGAAAGGTTTAGGGTTTAGGGGTCCCAGTCTTTGCAGAAGCTGATAGAAGCCGTGTCCTAGAATTCGGGTTTGGGGAATCAGGATCTTTGGGAATCCTTTGGGATATAGGGAGCTTGAGTTTTCGGCTCCTTTGTGGTGGTCCCCCCGTCCCGTCCCAGACCCCAGCAACTCCAGCAAACCTAGGTTTAGGGCACATTCCGCCAGGTCCATTCTCAGCCGGTGTACTTGCTGTCCGAAGCAGGCGGGCATTTGTGGCCAGGAAGTTTGCACCTCCTCTGGGAGCCTTAAACCTTTACATGCTGCCCAAGCCCCGAGCCCCATCCAAGCCCATCCAGGCCCTCGACTCTGCAAGCCAATTTTTGAGAGCAGAAGCCTGCAATACAGTGATCTGTGCCGATGAAGGCCTAACCCATTAGCCCATTCCTCACTCAAGCCCTAAACCTGGGAGTAGTGCAGGGGGCTTGTGGGCCCCTTCCTCCCAGGCGCAAGTGCATCGAAGGCGTCCAAGGCGGCTGGCGACGGCTGCCTGGCATCGTTTGTAAGTTTGGGGTCACGAAGTGAGGCTTTCAACATGGAGAATCTCGCTTCGGTTGCGGGGTGCCAAGACCTCCACTGGTACCTTGTGTGTGTGTGTGTGTGTTATTTTTCCTTGGGGGGTGGGGTCGCTTCGGTTGCCTTAGCTTAGTTCTAATTGTAACCAATCCCTTTTGATTCCAAGGGGTGCCAAGGTCACCTAAGCCCCACAATCCCTCAGCCATGTTTGCGGTAATAATTTCGAGAACGTTCGAATCCCCGATGCCCGCAACCGGCAACCCCATACTATAGAGCAAGACCACCCCAAAAATGCGGTTAAGTTGCACATAAGTCTGCTTGGCCTTTCCTTAAGGTATTGTGATGGGCAAGCCGAGGTGGGGAAGGCAGCTGGCTTCTGAGCGACTGCCCGGAGGCGAGCGGCTTCAACACCCCTTAACCCCAAAACACCCCCGAACGAAGGCGTTCTCTTACGGATTCTTATTCGGGACTTTGGGGAGTTATATGGGTGGTTGTCAAGATGATGGTCCCTTCTTGGATCCCTATTATGATACGGCACCTAATATTTAGGGTACCCCAAAAGGGAGTACATTTTTGACAACCACCCATATAGGTCTCCTACCTTACATCCCCCTATATAGCCCTGAAGGAGATGATACCTAAACCCTAAAAACCCTACACCCTTAAAGCTTAGGATACGCTCTGGCCAGGACTTCAACGTCGGTCCGCCCGGTGATGGCCAAGCGCTCCCGGCCGAGAGGCCTACTAGCTGTGCACCTTAAGGGTGCGTGGGGGGATTGGGGGGATTTTGTGGGTTTAGTTTAGGGTTAAGTCTCCTGCTTTCTGGGACCCAAAGCTTTGTGGATTCTGTGGATTATAGGGTTATCCCCCCCCCCCCCCCACCCCCATCTGGAATTGATATCTGTCATGTTTTTTCACCTGACATTGCCCTGCTGTTCACTCAAAAGCCCATAAGCCTTGGACTCACCCAGACCAAGAGGCCTTTGTTGGAGCAGATTTGCACAGTGCTCCCGGGAGGCCAGAGACATCGGGTTGAGGGTCCCGGAACCCCTAAACCCATCCTAAGCTCTAAAAAACTCTAAACCCTAAACCCTAAACCCCAAACCCCAAACCCCAAACCCCAAAGGGTTTAGGGTCCTGGTGGAGTTTAGGGTTGAGGGTTGGAGTGTGGACGTGTGGATCTTGGCAAATGGGCTTAAGTTTTTAGAGCACTTGGGCCCTGGGACACCTAAACCTTCATGCCTGGGCTGCAAAGGGGTGGGGGAAAGTTCGGTCCTGTGGGGCTTATTTCGGCGTGTCTGCAAAATGAGATACTGTTTCTCTGATGCACCTCCGAAACACCTCCGTAGGGCCTTGGGGCTTAGAGTTGTGTAGGGTTGACTGAAGGCTCACGCTACACTCGCCAGCTAGCGACAAGTGGCTACTGTCCCGTCTTTGAGCAAAGCACAAGAAACCCTTTAAGTGAAGACTGCCATTCAGAGCTCTAAAATCCGTTGGAATGATCAAGAAAATCCACGAACGAAGTAGCCACACATTAAGTACAGTGCTCAGGATTGTGTAGCAGAAGGCAGATCCAAAATATTTATTCCTCAGCCCTTGAAGCTCTTAACGTCGATATTGCAAATCTCTGTGAGACCTTCGATCGGCAGGCTGGCGGAAAGGTGCTCACCTCACTTGCTACCGCCTTTGAATCGCGCGCGGAGAAAAAGCAGCCGCCTGCACGGGTGTTCTGCAACAGTTCGAGAGCACCTCTGGGATGTCCTTGGGATGTTGTGGCTCTCAAGCTCCTAAACCTGAAGCCCTGGCCTGTAAGCCTTAAGCCCTAAAGACCACATGAAGGCATTGTTGCTGCCAGGACTTTCGCGTATAGGGATGAAGGGTCTAGGCTGGCGGATGCCAGAGTTTTATAGCTTAGGGGCGTCAAAGAGTTTTGGGGTTGAAGAGTATTAGGGGTTTAAGGGTCTCGGGGTTTAAGGGCTTAGGGGCTAGCGGTTTAATTGCCCAGGGTTCTCCCAGCGTCTGTTGCTGGAACGCCATGGGCGGTAGCATTGTCACTCCATTGCTGGCGCGCTCGAGAATGGGGCGAATCCAGAGCTTGAAGTCCCATCAGACCGACTCCTTACCGCCAAGCCCAGAAGCATGCTCAACTTTCCCCGGAACAATCAACATAATCACGTGTTCAATCCCTACACCCTAGACCGACTTGAGGCTCCTCTCCTAGGATAGGGCTTGACCCGATCTGCAGCGTCAACCAGCAATTCAAAAAAGCCCAGAACCCTTGTCCGCAGGTTCAGCTTGACCAACCTACTCCCAAAGTGCAGACGCCTCGTTCGGGAGCAGCTGGGCAAGCAGAACTTGTCGTGGCCCCGGCCGGGCCTGGAATTGGGGCGGTTTAGGGTTTAAGGTCTAGGGTTTTCAGGGCTTGAGGATCAGAGCTTCTTCTCCTGGTTTGGGGTTAGGCTCCCTAGGCAGGCGTTCCTGAAGCTAGGATCGTAAAGCCCAAAAACCCTGAATCTAAGAGAAACCCTGAAACCTAAACCCGAAGCTTAAGCCCTGAACCCTTATCCGAAACTCCAAACCTAAACTCCAAACCTACTAGATTTGAAGGACTGCACCTCAAAAAAGAGGGAGCTCCGAAACTCTCATGGAGCCTCGAGGCCCACTAAGGGGCTCAGACGTGCCCCAGATGCCCCAATTTGGCTTGCTTAGGGTTTAGGGTTTAGGGTTTGGGGTTTGGGGTTTAGGGTTTAGGGTTTAGGGTGCAGGCTAGGGTTTTTTCTTTCCTAAACGTTTCTTCGACGCCTTGTCGGAATCCACGCCCCCTAAACGCTTTGCTCTGGTGTTTTGGCCAGTGGTGCTGACCCCGTGTATCTGCACCCCAGGTCCTCATCCTGAGCCCTAATCCCTAAACCTTGAACCCTGAACCCTAAACCCTAAACCCCAAACCCTAAACCCTAAACCCTAAACCCTACACATTAAACCCCAGGCTCTAAATCCCCGATCCAGGCATCGCCCGGTACTCGGCCTCTTGGACGCGAGGCCGGGTGCAGTTTGGGGTTGGGGGTTGGGGTTTCGGGGGGGGTTAGGGTTTCGGGTTGTGGGTTTAGGGTTAAGTTGGTGTTTGAGAATGAAAGGAACCCGAGATCCCAGCGGGTTTAGAGTTTAGGGTGTCCCCAGCCTTTCCCTAAGCCCCAAGCCCTAGACCCCAAACCTGAGCCCTACACCCTAAACATCCCTAAACCCTACGCCCTAAGCCCCAAACCCTAAGCCCGAAGCCCTTAATCTTAAGACCCTAAACCCTAAACCCTAAACCCTAAACCCTAAACCCTAAACCCTAAACCCTAAACCCTAAACCCTTAATGGAGAGCCCGCAGGCCCAGCTCTGCCGCCGTGCCCTTCTCAGCTTCTCTAGTCCAACTTCTGGTCTGGGGTGTCAGGGGTTCAGGGTTCAGGGTTCAGGGTTTAGGGTTTAGGGTTTGGGGTTTGGGGTTTAGGGTTTAGGGTTTAGGGTTTAGGGACAGAATACAGCGAGTTGCTAGGCCATTGGTATTCTGAGAGCCTGGTAGAGGCAAGTGCCAGGACGTCTAAAGACGTTTGGGGCTTCAGAGGTTGAGGGTTCGTGACTTAGGGGGCTTGAGGAGCCGTCAGGGCACGCGAACCTTTAACGCTCTCCACTCTTCAAGCCTACACCAAAGTAAGAGAGCTCTGGGGTGAAGTTTGGGTGGGCATGCACCTTACAAACCCAATGACAAGCCACAAAAAGCGTCTCCTTTTCATGGTAGGGTTCGGGAAAGCTGGAACCCCAGAACCCTGGGGTTTAGGGTTGGGGAGTTAGTTTAGGGTTTAGGGTTTTGGGGTTTAGGGTTTAGGGTTTACTTGTTTAGGGTTTAGGGTTTGGGGTTTAGGGTAAACCCCAAACCCTGATCGATGGCGTGCCCGAGGCGCGGAGTCTTTGGTGCCGGCTGCCCAGAGTGCTGTGCGGGTTGACTGTCTGGGGCCTGGGAGCGTAGGTCTAAATCGGGCTCAGGACTCTGAGAGGGGGGATCATCATCGGGATTGAGCCCTACTTTTTGGGGTCTTAAGAATTCCCGCTTGTATCTTGCAAGGCGTGAAAAAGCGCTCTCCTGATTTCCCCAATGGAAGCCCCAGAGTCTCTAGACCCCAGAAGCCTACGAGCCCCAAAGCCCCAAATCCCTGAAGATACGTTTGAGCCCTGAAACCTCTAAACACTAAACTCTCAGCGCCAAAAGAAGCGCGAAATCTGTCCGTGAACCTCCAGGCAGTAGCCAGGAGCCGCAGCCGCCTCCTATCCCAGAGGAGCGGGGTGGCTCGGGGGGGGGGGGGGGTGGGGTTGTTGGGGTGTTGCTTGAGGGGTTTCGGGTTTATCGTTGCTTTGGGTTACTATGTAGTTTTGTAGGGGCCCTCGCGGGTGTTAAGAGAGGGGGGGGGAGACGATTCTTGGGCCTGAGCCTCGGCAGAGTCACTTTGGGACCATGTGCTTGCGACTGCAGGGGCTTTAGAAGCAGCCCCAAAAGCCCTTCAGTTGGCAGAGCCGATTCTGCTCCCATAATATACCTGCGCGAATGGTAACCCTATGTGTGCCCCTCTGCCTGCAGTAGTAACCCTACATATACATATATATATATATATATATGTATGGTCGCCCCCCCCCCCCCCGAATGGACCAACCTCGATATATGATATGATATATATATATACACATACATGCATACATACCCCTACACACCCACGAGGTGGCCTACCTGCTGACTGCTTGGACATGTCCCCTCCCAAAGCTGTCCTTCAAAGCCCCGAAGCCTTGAAGCGTAACTGCACTCAGCAAAAAAGGAGAGGCGCAATGAAGGAATTGGGTTTGATCTGCATCATGCGCCTGTTTGGGTATGGTTCTTCGGGACCGGGCAGCAATGACATTCACTCAGCAACTCAACAATTGTATGCCCTGAAGGAAGAAAGAGAAAATACTCACGTGCATCACGTCATCAGACCCGAAACCCCAAAGCAGAGCCCCAAAGACCGGGAATCGAAAGACCCTGTGCAGAAATCCTGAACCAACCGTGAAGTTAGAGCCCTCATAAACACTAAACAATAGCCCCTACACTTTTTGGTGCTTACTAGGGTATTCTCCGCGCAGAGCTAGCCAGCAACCCTGGGCCCTCTACCCAACAAGCTACTGCACGTGCCTTCAAGGCATAACCACTTCTTCCCCCCTCCCCCCCACCCCCCCAACCCTCAACCCTGCATCACGGATTCCCTCCTCGATAGCCTGAGCTGTTGCTTTTGCCTCCAAGAGCCAACATATCTGAGGCCTTCGGGTGACGCCAGACAAGCCTGGGGCACAGATGCTCTGGGGCTTCTTCGCTTCGGGAGTAGGGTTCAGGGTTTAGGGAGCGGGGATCAGGGACCTGAGGGCCGGTTAGGTTTCGAGGTGGAGCTCTTCATGGGGGCCTTTTGGGCCCCAGTACTGGGTGGGTTGAGGGTTCAGGGTAGAGGGCTCAGAGCGTTTGGGCCCCCAGTTACCAGGTGTGTTAAACCTCCGACATGCTAGGGTGTTCCGCCATTTTTGGGGCTAGGCTGCCGGGTTCTCCTGAATACCCAAGTAAAGCAACAAGGGTTCCATTTTCCCGTAGGTGTCTTGGGAACCATGTTGGGCCCCAAAGCAAAAACCTAATAAAAACCTTGTCTTGTGGGCTCCTGAGGCGGGATCCTGCTAAGCTATTCTTAAAACGGCTTGGAGCTCCAGTCCCCCTAGACCCCTAAACCCCTAGACCCCTAGACCCCTAGACCCCTCAACCCCTCAACCCCTCAACCCCTAAACCCCTAAACCCCTAAACCCCTAAACCCCTAAACCCCTAAACCCCTAAACCCCTAAACCCCTAAACCCTTACACCCCTAGACCCCTACGGACCCTAAACCCTAAGGACCCTCAACCCCGAGTTGCAGGAGTGGCCTGCTGGTGGCGGGGACGGCTGGGGCATCTTCTTCCTGCCTACCGGTCAAGCCCTGGTGCCTGGCCCTCAGAGACAGGGGGCTTAGGGTTTAGGGTTCCTGGCCCTCAGACTTAGGGGTGTTCGGAAGTATTCTTTACTTTTTGGGCACTTTAATTGCTGAGAAAAAGCAAAAACTGCAATTTTTGCTGGTGGCGGCTTCAAGGGAGGGAAGGGCTATGGCAAAGTGTAGGGCTGCCCTTTTCGTGATAGAATGGTCCCTGCCTAGGACCCCCCTCCCTCCCAGAGGTTTGCCTCTGCTGCATTAGGTAGTTGAAGTTGAAGGAGGGTCTTGTCCAAATCTCTGAGGATTAGGGCCTTGGGTTGCGCCTTTGGTGGGAAAAAAACTGGAGATGACGGAGCGCAGCTCCCTCTAACCTCTGCTAGGTCCCCTCTCCAAAGCCCTCTCATACATCCGCAGAGGGCCCCTGGTTTGCCTCTACTAGCGCAATCAAGGGAAATCAGCCTCAATGGAGTTCAGGGTTAAGGGCTTCAGGTTTCCCGGCTCGGCCCCCAAAGAGCCCCGCGTGGAAAAACTAAGTAGGTTCTGGGGATGTCTGTTTTTGTTTCCCTTCTTGGGTTTGAGATTTCAGGGGAGTTCACGGAAGTCTTCCGTTTATCGGGTTCAAGGGGCTCACTCAAGCAGCCTGGAGGCTGGACGACGCGGCCTATCGAGAAACGTGCA